CACACACACACACACACACACACACACATACACACACACACACACATACACATACACACATACACACGTCAAGCTCATGTACTACTAAAACAGAATCACTATACTTTGTTGCTTCTCTTCAAAGCTGGTGAACAAGGCTGGTCTCCCTCAGAGGAGACAGAGCTATGGTGGAGGCGGCTCTACTGGAGACCCTTCACCCTGAGCTGTGGCTTGGGTTGCTATGAGCATGATCACATGGTAAGCTGCAGGTCTTCCAGCTCAAGGCCCTGAGGCTACACTGGACATCAGCCTCCCCAGGCAGGCTGCCTTGTGCACACTGGACGGGTGGTGCTAGCCAACTTCCATCACCCCGCCTCTACATGCTCCCAATCCTGTGCCTTCCTCTAGCGTTTTTATGCATGTCCCTTGGGCTTTGGAGTGAGAAGATAGATGGGGCCAAGTCCACCTTGACTCTCAGCACATATATGACACGAGCGAGACACACACTGGGTCTTGTGAACACAAACATCTTGGGACCATGCGTGCGTGTGTGTGTGCGTGTGTGCGTGTGTGCGTGTGTGCGTGCGTGCGTGCGTGCGTGCGTGTGTGTGTGTGTGTGTGTGTGTGTGTGTGTAAACAGGCCATCAAGGACACTCTTACCGAGTCCCGCATGATGCTGAGGAAGGTCCTCTTGAAGAGAATGCAGAATTGGGTGAGGCAGCTGGCTGAGAAGCTGTGACAGCCTTCCATGGAGGCGGAGTCCTGAGGATACACGAGAAGGGGGTGAGTGAGCCTCCTGCCCACCATAGCTCAGGAAGGGCTCTGCAGGACCCATCTCCAGATCACTCCAATCCCTTCACCTGCTTTACCTCCTCAGCAGGCCGGTGCCAAAGAAACGGGTTCACGTCTGTGTCGCCCCCGAGATCTCTCTTATAGTCAGAGTCACACATGCCCTCCCGCACGGCTCTCACCAGGCGGCTGTTCTGATCACCATACTCGCCGGATGCCACTTCCATGACTACAGGAGACAACACAGAAGGTGAAATGAGACAGGGACTCCTGGGAAGGAGCACCACAGTGCCGATGGGAACTGAGGGTCTCTGTCACTTTGTGAGAGCAAGGTCTGTGTGGCAATAAGAATGCTTTAAAGTGAGTTATGGTGGTGCCTGAGAGCCACGGCAGTGGGTTGTTGATTGACTGATGTTCACTCAGAACCCCCAGTAAGCCATTCATGGTGTCAGGAGACCAGAAATGCAAACACACAGATGTGCATCATGCTGTCAGCTCACCCAGGAAGCAAGGAACGCATGCATCTATGCCATGACCATCTGCACAGCGTACACTGAATGCCTGCTCTGGTCCAGCATGGGCCAGAGCGGGAGATCAGTAGGAGGAAGTTGGGCTCCTTGCCGATACAATGAGTGATGGGTGGTCCACAGAAGGACTGCCCCCAGCACACAGGTCCACTGCTCTGAGGCTGGGGACCATGAACCACACCCCTCACTTCCCAGCAAGCAGCTTCTCCCTTGGTTTCCCTCGCTTGCCTTACTTGTTTCCTCTGTCCTTCTTGGACCCCGTCGAGGTCCCTCTGCCTAGACTACTCCTGTGGCTGCTGACTGATCCCCACTCAGCTCATGGTAACAACAGTTTGCTGTTGTCTAGAGCCCTCTGTGTCCTGTTCCTTCCCCACCACCTCCCTGGGTAGCCCAGCCCTTATCTCGGTACCATGCTGCTGATATCCAAAGACCCTCCCCTGTACCCATCAACAAACTAGCAACTCCTTTTCTAAGTGGCACATCAAGCCGAAGCCAGGACACATTGGGCCCCTCTGGAAAAGTGCAGCATCAAGCAAGCCCCAGCACTGCCCGGTCCATCTCTAAACTCCTTGGGGGTAATCACACCACTCCTAAGTGCCCCAGTCCCCTACCTTCCCTCCAGAGGCCCATTGGAGGAGAGAAACCTCTGGGAAGGGACATCCTCATCTCACCAGACACCTGTTCTCCTCCTTCCTGCTTGTCCTCCTCTCTGGCTGCCACTGCCTTCCCTTGATGAACAGGGCTTATTGCCCACCCTCCTCTCTTCCTGTCTCGGGAGGTGAGGGAATAAGCCGACTACATATAAGATCTTTCCCTTGGCTTTTAAATATGCCCAGTTCTTCCTTTTATGTAGCACTTACCCTCACCGTCTCCTCCCATGCCCTAACCTCCCCACTTTGTGGCAGTATGCTTCTTGTGGGTGAGGAACATTCCCAGGTTCAAGGACTTCTGAACACAATTTGGAAAATGACATATGGAGCCCTGGGAGCTGAGTGGCCAGATGTTTGAAAGAAATACAGCTGTGAGAGGGTTGTCCAGCTGGGATCTGTGAGTAGCCCTGGGTAGCAGAGTGTTTATAGAGAGGCAGTCATGGCTGTAGTGTTGGTCCTAAGTCTAGTGACCAGTTTCCCCATAGAGGGGATGACTAAGGGACAGAGGGTGAGGCCAAACAAAGACAGGGCAGAGCCTGGCCTTTAGACAAGTCCTCCTGGAAAGAAGCCTGCCTGAGCTGCCACCACAGGATGGCCCCATTCTATTGATGAGACATGACAGTGACTCCAGAACTCAGGCATCAGGTCACAGTGGAACACACAAGACTGAGGGAGATTCCCTTTCCTTCCATCTGGGTGGCCTCTACTCACCAAAGTCCGCAGGGTTGTGGTAGGTAGGGCAGTTCAGACCCAAGTCCCTCAAGTATGGCACGAGATTCGAGACCTTTCCCCGGTATACACATTGTCCTTGACTCAGGACGTAAAGCTGAGGGAAAGGAAGAGAGAAAGGAAGAGAGAAAGGCATCAACCACAGCCTTCACCTCTGGAAGGCAACAGAGGCGCTCATTCAGTCATTCCTTCAATCAGTTGGTCAGTCGGCTAGCTTGTCAGTCAGCCAGTCATTCTGCCAGCCAGCTTGTCCATTGGTCAGCCAGCTTGTCAGTCGGCCAGTCAACCAGTTATTCAATCAGCCATTCATTAGTCAGTCAACCAGCTAGTTAACCAACCAGTCAGCTAAAAACTAGAAAGAATAAGGACCCAGGGTCTAATTTCTCCAGGCTATCTCTCAGTCCTGTCAGGGATCTTGGGATGGAATCTGGGGTGGAGATCTAGGTCAAGGACCTGGACAAGGGTGGGGCCCATGTACCTGGTCAAAGAGCTCAAAGAGCTTGGCGCTGGGCTGGTGGATGGTGCAGACGATGGACCGGCCGCCCTGGGCCAGCCCTTTCATCAGGGATACTACCTGGAAGCAGGAGGCGCTGTCCAGGCCACTGCAAGTCAAAGACACAATGAAAAGCTGAGAATGTGAGGGGCAAGCAAGCCCAGTGCCCCAGGTCTTGGGGGACTAGGCAGTCACTGCTGAGGGAGGGCCTGTCACAGGCCTTGTATGTGCATCCCCAAGGTCATGCTCTTCTCAGCCTGGGCTGGGGCTGTGTTCCTTTCTGATGTTTTATTGACTATATTGAAGCCTTTTGTGGGTAGGTGGCATCCTGAGGTATACAGGGCGTAGCTAGGACCTGGCACTCCTGGGTGAATTCTCTTCTCTCCTCTCCTGCTTGAACACTCCCAACCCTGTCTTGTTTCTACTATGTAGTTCCCAAGGAGAAGAATGAGTCATAGTGGGCATCCATGGGCACTCGCTTTCCCCCAGGGCAGTGAGCCAGTGAGAGGCAATTTAAAGGGCTCGTACAGTTGTCTTTCAGGTCCTCCTAAGGACCACCCACTGTGAGCCAGGCACTCAGCTGGGCTGAGGTGGTATGCTGGAGACTGTTCTCAAGTTCAGCGGCCATCCATGAGATGAGCACACAGGGGGAAGGAGATGACAAAGTCTGGATGAAGTCGGTCAGGGCAAACCCTGAACAGCCAGTCTACTTTGTTGGGACTACAACATGCTTGGAAGAAAGGTGGGCTGGCTGACTAGTGACCAGTGTGCCCCAGAGCCAGGACTTGAGACCAGAATCTCCCCAAATGTAAGCAGGTGTATCCAGGACAGGAGTCAGGATTCCTGTTGGTCGCACAAAGGCAGTAAGCCGCTCAAAATGGGAGGGGGCACTCAAAACACAAGACATCAGTCCCCTTCCTCAGAATGCACCTTAACACTTGCCTTCAGAGTGCCGTCCCACTGGTAACTCCGCAACGAGGGAGAGACAGACGCTAGGGCACTGTTTCCAATCTCAGCCACATCTCCACATTCAGTACCCCCCCCTCCCAAGTACATACAAGTCTCTGGGCCAGTGGCGTTATCCCGCCATCCCACAGATGGGACAGTTTCTTACAGCTCCTCCAAGGCCACACCAAGATGGCAGGGTCACCTCTAAGAACCTCAGAATAGACTCTAGAAGGGATTCTTCCCTGTCCTTTCCTGGTCACCAGGCCAGACATCAGACAGGCTTACCTGGTGGGCTCATCGAAGAACATGACAGGAGGGTTGTTGACCAGCTCCAGCGCGATGGCCAGGCGCTTCCGCTGGCCTCCTGAGAGGCTCCCTGTCCGTGTATTGGCACAGGGTAGCAAGCCCAGTGCTGTCAGGATCTCCTTGACCTACAGGCAACAAACCCAGAATCTTCATTAGGAAACAATCCTCCAACCTCTTGGCTGTCAGGAACATAGCTGAGCAACTCGGGATGCCCTGCCCTGCTGGGCACAACCCCACGATCCATACACAGATGTCTACACTGCTGGGCCGTCCCGGGCCATCCCAAGCGAGTGGCAGATGCTGTGGCCCTGACTGGAGAGACAGGCAGAACCATCAAGAGGCAAGAAGTGCGCTGGGGAGGTTCAAGTCAAAGGCTGGAGTCTTCACTCAGCCTCTGGCTGGTGACCTGATGTCATCCTTCACTTCTAATCTGAGCCTAACGCCTGGCACGAAGAAATGGCCTATAAATATTTGATCAGTGGATGGATTAATGAACACATAAGTGACACAAAGGGTCATTGGCTATCAAACGCAGTAATGACTGCAAAATGTCCTGTTGGAACACCAGGCACACAGTAAGTACCCCAACAGCTACCACCCATGTCTCTTGTCTCACATGCTGCATGTGAGACAAAAGTGCGTTCCTTGACACACACCCACAAGCCAGCCCTGTCAGGACGCCACTAGAGACTGTGAGCTCAAGGCAACAAGCACATCTGTGTTGTAAGTGACACAGTGGCCACCTGTGCTAAGGAGGCCCTGAGATGAAGGCTGAGAACAGAGAAAGACACAGTTAGCTGTGGGCAGAGTCCTCTGGCTGGCCCAGGGCGGTGACCTAGTGTTAGCTCAGGGAACCAACAGGTCAGCAGGCTCTTGGGAAGAAGAGGCTCAGACGGCTGCCACTTCCCTGTCAGGCTCTTCTCCAGGGTACTCAGTGATTTCCTCCAGAGTTTGCCCAGAGGCAGGACAGCTCTGAGGCAGCCAGTCCCTGGTGGCCATACCAGGAGGACCTTGGCCGGTGGCTTCTCTGGGGAGATGAGGTCATCCAAGAGGAGGAGAACTCAAAAGAAGAAAACTTTCCACTCTGGATTTCTGGATTATTTATGCATGGTCAGTAGAGACTGAAACTGGTGACAGAACCACTTGGAACCCAGTGCTGGCGGGCTGGGAGCAGGTGCAGTGCAGGGCTCAGGGACCTGAGATCAAGTCCCACTCTGTCTATCCTTGCCGATGCCCTTCACCCAGCACTACCATCTCCTTCTGGAATGCCATGCCTCTGAGAGGTGACTGTCGGCCTGGGATCAGCTTCAGTGTGGCTGTTTGGGAAGAGCCAGAGAGGTAGCACCACAGCAGACAGGCCTTTCTTTTCGGTTGCTTCTTGCCATAAACAATGTCTGCTGATCTTCCAGCATAAGGCTTCCAGCCTCTTCGGGACAGCTGGCTGATCTGTCAGTGTGGCTAGAGTCATTACCTCTGTGGGAGCATTCCATACACTATGTGTGTCTCCCTTTCTTCACTTTCATAGCAGGGGAGAGGAAATAGAGGCCACCAGTTGGTGGCTGTCCTTCTGCCCACATGACCATGTTTCTACAACCACAGGCCTGGTTCTTCTCTCCAGCTTTGTCTCAGAAGTAATACTATCTAGGTTGGTTTTGTTTGAAAAGCAGTCAGAGAGAAAGAAAGAAAGAAAACAAAACAGCAGGGTCGTTGTTTTTATGTTTCTCCAAATAAGCAAACCAACAAAAAGCAAAATAAAGCAAAAAGATTCCCATGATCACTTGCAATTCAATTCCTCCTGGGACCTCACCATCGAGGGATTGTCTCAGCAGCCCCAGAATGGCTCATGGCAACCTCCCTCTCAGGAAGCAGCTATACCAGAGGGCTCCTCAGGGCCAAGGTGCCTTTTCTGGGAAACAAGGGAGTCTGTGAACAACATACTCCATCATGAACTAGATTATTCCATTCCATTGTTCTTCCACGTGCTATACCCAGCATCCTCCGAGGCACTTCAGGAGCTGCCTGGAAATGAGTCAGGGTAGCGTCCAGATGCTAATCTGTCCTTGAGATGCCTGTTATAGGCTCTTGGAAGAGGCAGGAACTGTGTTCAGCTGAGAAGAGGGCCGTAGCAAGTGAGATCTCTGGTAAACAAACACATGCAGGACACAACAGTGCCTCAACCCTACGTGGCTGGCTTACTACGACACTCAACACAGAGACCATGACTGCATGAGGGGTTTAGGCCTGACTCTCCCAGGGACATTGCTTGGACCAGGATGATGGAGGATGTGCACATGTAAGTCTTGTCAGTCTGAGGCCTAGCTATGACTTTTCCCAGCAGGCTCCAGGCTTCTCCAAAGACTGCTATCTTCTACTCCAGCAGCAGATTGGGCTCCTGAGGCCCAACCAGCACCCACAAGAGGGGCTGGAAGCTAGACTCTGACAGCAGCAAAAACAGCATCACAGGCGAAGACGGCACTGGAGGCCAAATACCTGCCTCATGGTGGTCATCTGCTCAGAGGCCTGAGTTGGGTGAAATCTACTCCCCCAGCTTGGCCACAGAGCCATAGTTGTGGAGAAATAGCCCTGCCCCCATCTCTCCATCCTAGACTCACACTGATCTTAGCGGCTTAAAGACTTGAGCCTCAGAGGCTGTTGGATGGGAGGTGGTACCCAGAAGACTGCGGTACCACTGTCTTCTGATCAGTCACCAGGAACCACAGGATGCTCCAAAGGAAAGAACTGCATTAGGACTCACTTCTGGCTTCTGCCAGTCCCACCACTGTTCCAGCTGCATGAGGGGACCTTCCTTCTCATCAGTGCAAGATGGAATGCAGGGGCAGGGAGTGCTGGAGGACCCCGTCCGCTGGTGTGGTCATCTCAGGCTCATCCCGGCACACACTGTTCTGACGCTTGGTTCCCCTCTTTCCTTCTTCCTTTCTAGAGCTTTCTTTTGTCGTCCCAATAGTTGCTTCACTTGAGTCAGCTCAGGCTGCCATGTCAAAGTGTCCCAACCTGAGGGCATAGACACTGGAAATGCCATCTGGAAGTCTGCTCGAGGCATGGTGGCTGGCGCTGGTTCTTCCCAGCCCCTCTTGACTCCTCTCTTCTGGGCTTGCAGGTGGCATTTTCTCTCCTGAGTGTGCTTGTGCCTTGGCCACCTCTTCTTGTAAGGGCACTGAGATTGGATCAGAGCCATCCCAATGACCTCCTGTTATCTTAGTCATCTCTGCAAACAGCCTGTTAATTCTGAAGGACTAGGGTTAGAATTTTAGCATATCCCTTTGAGGAGGGGGTTTGGCTCCTAAGCCTGTCTCTTCTTATCTTCACTCTTAGGTAAGAGGGTGGGAGTCAGGTGTGGGGGTTGGGCCGTGGTGTCCTCCTCAGTCACATTTTGTTAAGAAAAGATGGGAGCCTGTGGAGGCTCTCGGAGCTCACCCTACATGATAAGGTCACGAACCCTGTTCTGTTGCCCACAAGTGGCCCCCAAACTTTCCACATCTTCTCTGTGTTGTGTGCAAATAGTCCAATTTCTTCCCCTCAACCTCAAAACAAGAGAATTCCACAGGAAAGACTTTCAGTAGTTTCAAGGAGCTGTTTTCATCTCAGAAATGAGCTCTTCCTCTCTACACTGCACACCCCACTACCATGACTAGAGAATCCCAGGGCTGTGAGGGTCCCACAAGAAAGGGAAATGGGGAGCCCTCAGGCTGCCAAGAGCTGCTTTTCCACAGACAGCCATAATCTATATCACATTAGTCATTCGGGGCAGCACAAGGAGGATGTATGTGAACAGAAATATATATATATTATATAT